CAACCTTGAGCCTGGTGAGATTCAATCTGCCAAGCTGCAGGCAGCCAGTGATCAGCCTGAAGTACTGCACTCTAACCACTGCGCCACCGCCACTCTATAAGAAAGGGCTTGATAAAAAAGCATCTTCCAACCCACTATTGGTCTTTTTGAAACTAATGGGAGAGATATTGTCATGGTTTACACATGGCAACCAAATCCAAAACAAAAGAAGACGCCATTTTATGGCTTCCGTATACAATCCATAGCTTCCAAATTTATATTTTTTGTTCTCCCCCATCCCTGCTTCTCCCTAAATTGATTTCTTTTTTTGCTGGTTGCTGGCCTTACGATTTTGTAGCATTTCTTCTATGTTGCTTCTGTTCAGTAAGGCATCAACACCCTTTGTGCTCTGTTTCTTCACTGCTTCTTCTGTCTCCTTCCTCGAATCTCAGTTACAAGTAGTCCTCAAATTACAACAGATCGCTTACTGACCATTCAAAGTTATGATGGACTCGTAAAATGGGACTTCTGACCTGATCATTTTTTTTTCAGAGCCCTGTTCATGGAGCCCACATTGCTGATGCTTGATGAACCTACCAATCACTTGGATCTCAATGCAGTCATCTGGCTTAACAAGTAAGTCACCAGCTAAGCATACTAGGGAAGGGAAAGTCCGTTGCTTTGGCTTTAAAGTCTCCTTCAAGCAATGAGCCATTTTTACGGAGCAGATAAATATCTTGGCAAAATCCCAGAAGAACATAGTAAGGATGTATGTCTGGGCCACATATTAAATGGTCTGTAAACAAAACTTCTTTTATTCTTACATTTTGTTTCTCTTAATGACACTGGCAGTGGTTCAAGCAGCATGTAAAGAGATTGTATACACAATTACAAAATGTATTGCCTCTAACTGTAACCTATGTCACACAGGTGGCACGCAGAGCCCTCGCCCCAGCTCAGATTCATTGCGCATGTGTGCGAATGCCTCCCACCGAGCAGCTGATTTTTGGATCTCTGTTGCACATGCGTAGGAGGTGGGGCACATGCGGGAAATGTCCACGGATATGTGGGGGCAGGGTGTGTGCCCCCCCTCCTGTGGCCTGTTTTTGGTCCCAGGAGGATGCAAAGAGGCCTACTAGGCACAAAACAGGGTGTGTGTGTGTGCACGCGCGCAGTGCACACATGGCCCATTTTTGCTCCCAGAAGGCTGCAGGGAGGCCTACTAGGCCCAAAACAGGGTGAGGGGGTGTCAATTTTATTAGCATTTTCTAACCTGCATTTCCACCCGTCAACAAACTCAGGGCAGCTATCAGCGCAATATGATATTTGTATTTAAAAACAAAGTTATATATTTGAAAATTGTGCCATATATACAGATGCTAATACTTTAGCTGAATGAAACAGAATAAATGAAATGTATCCTTTAATTATTCAGGGCTCTTTTCTTTCACACTAGCTGCATCTTTCTCATATTTACATTCTCAGTCACATAAACATAACTTGGGCTGAGAGGAGTGAAGAGTTACTGAAGTTAATCCTAATGTGGTGCAGCCCACTCTTTGTTTAGCGACTATCTCAGTGACATTCACAAATGCAACAGTAATAAATCATAATTTAAAAAAATCATTCTTCAACCAATGTGCCTGACAACAAAAGCCTTCAGTGTGAAACTGATTAAAGTCCAGCCAATTTCAGGCAGTAACTGAGGTAATTCTAAGAATTAAGCTCACAGAGCTGAGGTGATTTCATTTAATTTACTCTTAGCCTTTTTTAAGGCCACACTGCACCATGGAAAAAAAGCAGCTTATGAAGAGATGTGGCTTGAATATGCAATCTCTCCACCCTACGAGGTATCAAAAAAGAGGGGAAAAATGGCTAGGCACAAGACATTGTAAGAGAACTTTTGTCTAAATGAGATACCAGCAATCGGTGATCTTTACATCTCTTAGGCAAGTGTTCAGTTAGTGACCATTCCACTTAACAATCAGTGTGGTTGCTGAAAAAGGAGAGGCTGAATCAGTTGTTGTCACTGTTGTTGTTTTAATTCCCTTCTGTTCTTCTTACAGCTATCTCCAGACGTGGAAGAAAACCCTGCTCATCGTTTCCCACGACCAGGGATTCTTGGATGATGTGTGTACAGATATCATCCACTTGGACATGCAGAAACTTTTCTACTACCGGGGAAACTACAGTGAGTGGTGCTAAGGGTAGTAGGAGCTTCGTGAGTTGGATATCCATATAAATCTAAATAAAATCAAATACAATATTTTTTGGACTATAAGACACACCGCTGTATAAAACGCACCAAGATTTCAATGTGGTAAATAAGAAAAAAAAGTTTCTGTCCTCCCCACCGCCCAGGAGCATTCTGCAGGCTTCAACAGGGCTGGGGGAAGGCAAAAACGGAGGCGTTTTTGCCTTCCCCCAGCCCTGCTAAAGCCTATATAGTGCTTCTGGGGGCTGGGGGAAAGCAAAAACACCTCCATTTTTTGCAAAAATGCGATACAGGGGGCAGGGCTTCGGGAAGCCAAAAATGGCTCTGTTCAGTGCATAAGACGCACCAACATTTCCACGCTCTTTTGTGGGGGGAGGTGCGTCTTATACTCTGAAAAGTATGGTAGATAAATAAAGTGACAGATACAAGAACAAGGGAGCCCAGCTGGCAAAACTTGTAAAATATATAATTCCTGGATTCGTAATGTGAAAAATCTCTATTCCAAGCCACAGAGTTGGAATGTCTGTTTTTAAAATCAGTTTTAAAGAAATGATTTTAAAATCCCAACATTCAGACTTCGTGATTTCAAATAAAGATTTCTAGAATTTGAACCCAAAGAATTATTTATTTTAAAACGGCCCATCCCCTTTCAATTAAATGCCAAACCTGCTGAATTGCTGGGTGTTTTACTCACCTTTGGAGGGAGAGGCTGCTTTAAAGATATCTGACATAATCCGACATAACCACTGGAATCTTCAGATTTTTAAATGAAGGCGAATATTTGTAGCTCAGGATTGAAGTGAGGGATCTGTGGTGCTCCCTGGGCTGGCTTGTTTTCTTACAGATGTTTCATTACCCAAACTAGCTAACACCATCCGTGATAGTAATGAAATGTCTGCAAGAAAACAAGGAAGCTCAGAGAGAACCAAGGGCCCCTCAGACCTTTAAATGCCTGAATCTTACACAGAAGGAGGTCTGAAGTAGCCAGGAGCTCACTGAATAGGATCGTCGTCATCCTGTTCTTTTATTTTAAGCATTTGTCTTTTCTCCTTGATTCTGGTGGATGGCTGTTTTTTTAATTCTTTAATGGCAGCTTTACTTGTGTTACTGCAGAATCGGGGCCATTGTCAATTAACAAGTAGAAATCTGCCTGGAGAATCCGATCTCACCGGGGTCAGAGATTTAGTCTTCCAAGCTTTCAGACTTGTACGGGGAGCTCATCCTCGGAATTTCTTTATAGCAGAGTGTCAACGGGAGTGCTGATTTACCACCAACTTGTCAAGTGCTTAGGCGGTGAGGGCTTGGCAGAACAAGGAAACAACAGCCAACAACTTATTAGCCAGCCATCAACACCTCAATCAACATCTATAAAGCCACATACAACAGGCACCATAGTCTGTAGAGATTCTCAGTCATCCAGGTCATGGTTGTACCAAAGGTGCTTTTTTTTTTCAGGAGGCAACTAGACTTGTTTTTTTTCTTTTGAAGACGTTTTGCTTCTCATCCAAGAAGCTTCTTCAGCTCTGACAGGATAGTGGGGAATAGAAGGAGTTATATTCCTTGCAGACAGCTGGTAAGTTGCATTCTTTTAGAGGGTTGCTGAAGCACTTGGAGGTTTATCTGTGTCCAGCAAATTACCAGCTCTCTGCAAGGAATTATTCTCCACTATCCTGTCAGAACTGAAGAAGCTTCTTGGATGAAAAGCGAAACATCTTCAAAAGAAAAAACAAAGTCCAGTTGCCTCCTGAAAAAAAAACCTTTGGGACAACAGGCACCATATAAATATCACACACAGAATACCCCAAAGCAAACACTCTGCTAGAGAGGAGTACCCTGAAGATGGGCTCCAGCATGAGACCAAAAGCTTAGAAGACGAAACCTCTGGTCCCAGTGACTGACGCAGATTGGATCCTGTAACAATGACCTCGGACATGTATATTCACCTTCATTTGTGAGACATCTGCCTCTTCCCTTGTTCGGTGATACCAAGCTGTGCATCAGGATGGGGATTGAGAAATTGGCTTACCTCAGGATTGTTATTTTGTCACGTTCCCTGGCAGTGACTTTCAAGAAGATGTATCAACAGAAACAGAAAGAGCTGCTCAAACAGTACGAGAAGCAAGAGAAGAAGCTCAAAGACCTGAAGGCCGGGGGAAAGTCGACAAAGCAGGCAGTAAGTGTCTAGCTGTGCCAAGGTAGAGGGATTGCTGGCTGAGAAATGTTGTGCAATTACTGTTTTCTCCGGGATTCCTCTTAGCTGAAGTGACTTTTTTGAGGAAGCAGGACAGTTGTGCTGAATTAAATCTGTAGTCCTAAACACGGCAGAATTTTGCTTCCTCCCTAAATATCATAACCAGAGGTGGTATTCAGCCGATTCGAACGGGTTCACTCGAACTGGTAATGGAAATCACGGATGGGCCCCGCCATCCGCCCTGGTTCTATGCTGTCCTATTTAGACACGTTTTCAAGCCAAAGCGCATGCCCGGAAGCCCGAGCACATGGGTGGATGGGGCCAGAGGTGGGTTCCTACCAGTTCGTACCTATTCGGTAGAACCGGTTCGTCAAATCTACCGAACCGGTTAGAAGAGGTTCCATCAGTGGACTCGGAAAGCAGGCCACACCTACAGAAGAGGTTCCAAATTTTTTTGAAACCCACCACTGGTCCTTGGTCCTTGGATATGATTATTCATGCTCTTATTTATAAAACTCAGTGCCTCTGTGAAAGGTAAGGATGACTACTGCGTTTGTGGTGCAATCAGAACATTGCGTGTGTTGAAGTTG